GAGGAACTGATCGAGATGCTGCCCGACCTGTGGTCTGACGAGCAGCAGGCGGCCGTGGGGCCGCGGGGCGGTGAGTTGCTTGTTCTACTCATGGCCCGCGACAGTGGCCCTGGAACATCCGACAATGTCAAGGTTCAAGAGGCTTCAAGAGGGATATCATGTGCAAATCGATGATGTTCAGGGATTTTGCGAGGTTGGGTTGAATTTCTTCAATATATTGAATATACTAAAAATTAAATATGGTTAAGCATATTTTTTTCTCAAGATTTGGTAGGGACCCACTGAATGGTGAGCATCACTGCTGAGGTGGTTCAACATGGTTCAACAACAAGTCCGCCAAGTGAGCATAAGACGTGAAACGATTGGTGGTTGTTGGTTGGTTCATAACGGCACGGCTCCAAAAAGTCCAAACACATTTTCTCACAAAATGGTCTTTGGTTCACAGCGAGACAGCGAGACACTTCAGTTCCTTTGTCGGATGTTGGTTACAAGGTGATGCCCCAGTTCATTGGCTAATCTGCTTCAAATCTATATGATTATTGTTGTATTCAGTTTTGTGTTGATGAAATGACCACAGTAGTAGCACAAACCAACCAACATACCTGGGGGGGAGCATGAACTTCTATGATGGTTCATGGCAATAGGTCAAAGCTCCTGGCCCAGCAAACAACGACAAATGTTGTGGGTCGATTGATACATTGTTTTTGACCACCCACATCCCCAATTGTATAATTTGAGATTGGTATCATATCTACCTAAGAACATCATTTTTTTTCGAACGTAATGGCTCATCCCCGAAGTAGGTTAGTTCACTAATCCTAGTTACCCTTAGAACAAAATCACCCAGTTTTGTAGGTAAAAATACCAGCACCATGGAGCATATGGGTTATAAGTGGGATACTGGTTGGTGGTTTGGAACATTTTTTATTTTTCCATATATTGGGAATTTCATCATCCCAACTGACGAACTCATATTTTTCAGAGGGGTTCAAACCACCAACGAGTAGATGATTTACCCATTAAAACATGCTAATTAAAAGGGATTTTGCTCATTTCCACGGCAATGATTACAATGAGGATCTCTCCAACAATATGCGGATATCGCACTGCCAAAGCTCATATACCCTCTGGTAAACTAACATGTTGCTATGGAAAATCACCATTTTGAATGGGAAAACTCACTATTTCTATGGCCATTTTCAATAGCTATGTGAAATTGCCAGAGGGTACCCTACACTTCCAAAGGCCTCCATACTGAGGGCTGAGGATCTCACCAACAATATGCATAGGCTGAATCCACTTAAAGGCTGAACTCAGCATTGACGGAGCCCTCTCAGGCGACCTTGGCTGCTGCGGGGATCAGCATGCAGGCGGTGGTGTCTCGGTTTCGTTTCGGAGGGCCGTTGGGTTTTTGAATGGCCCAGAGATGGCAATTTCTATGGCACTTTTTTTGAATCATATGATGAAAAAACATAGATGATTCATATATGATAATCCATGATCATCTAATTAATCATCTAATTATTGATCATCTATTGGATTTTGTTGTTTTGCACATATTTAAGATCAAACTCTGTGAAATCCCCGAAGTGAATGGAAGCGATGGGAAAGTCATATCAAGCTCTGGAGGATTTTCCATGTTCGACTATGTATCAACTATGTATGTATATATATATATATATAATGTACATAGTCTATAGTTTAACATGTGAGGCTTTCTGAAAAAGGGTGACCAATTATGCATGCTATTTATATCAATTTTCTTCAATTTTATCTATGTAGTACTGTACACTTTTCTTAAGGTAAGGCAAGGATAATGTGGGGTACCCTGATGTTAAGAGACCCTGATGGTAATTATAATGTGGGGTACCCTGATGTTAAGAGACCCTGATGGTCGAAGGAAGTTTAGAAGTTAAACTTCCGACAATATGGACAGATGAAAAAGCAGAGGTGCGAAGAGCCAGACGGGAGCAGAGTCAGAGGGGAGAAAAGTCAGAAGAGACAAGATCAGAAGAAAGAAGATGCAGGTGTGCGAAAAGGTAGGAAAGTCGCGAAACACTGTGAAATTTCGATGTTTTGTGGCTCCGGAGGGTCGAAAGTAGGCTCGCTAAAGCGGCGGGTGCGGAGACATCTGGGGAGATGCGAAATGAAAAGTTGCACGCCGTTGTGGCGCGAAGCAGATTTTGAAGTGAAAAGGTACAAAACACCTGGGTCTCGGAGCACTTTTGGAAGTTGAGATGTCGAAAAAGTGCGCGCCGTTGTGGCGCGAAGCACATTTCGAAGTCAAAATGTACAAAGCACACCATTCTTGGGCCACTTTTGGAAGTTGCGATGTCGAAAAAGTGCACGCCGTTGTGGCGCGAAGCACATTTCGAAGTCAAAATGTACAAAGCATCTCAGTGTCGGACCACTTTTGGCAGTTGAGATGTCGAAAAAGTGCACGCCGTTGTGGCGCGAAGCACATTTCGAAGTGAACATGTACAAAGCACTACATGTCCGCGCCACTTTTGGAGGTGTAGATGTCGTTTTGCGTGGCAGGCGCAAAGGATTGTGCACCTTGTCAAAAGTGAGCAAAACGTGAGGGTTTTGCAGCATTTCCAGAAATGATGGCAGGCGTGGGGCATTTGAAGAGGATCTTCAAAGATGCATTTCGCATGGCAGGTGCAGTACAAAAGACATGTTCATCAGAGATGTTCGGAGGTGAGGGCGCTCATTTCCTGAGAGGGGTTCCATTTTGGAGTATCAGATCTTCAGGTTTGCTGAGATGATTTTGCGTGACAGGTGCAGCACTTGGTATGACCTGGCATCAATTTTTTGTGGCAGGCGCAGTACTTTACACAGGTGGAGTGGAAAAATTGCAAAACGCATTGGTACGAGGCTCCCAGCGCTGCACTCAACTTTCCATTTTTGAAGGAAGTCTCGCAGAATTGCTTTGATTTTGACGTTGTTAAGTTCAAACATTGAGGAAGTCTCGCAGAATTGCGGCGGTTTTGGACGTTGTCAGGTTGAAAAATGAAAGAAGTGTCGCAGAATTGTGTTGTTTTTTTAAGTTGTTAAGTTCGAAAAATGAGAAAGTCTCGCAGAAGAGCTTCGTTTTCAATCTGGCAGATAGACAGATAGATAGACAGACAGACAGACAGGGATAGATAGATAGATAGATCGATCGATAGATAGATAGATAGATCGACATATAGATAGACAGATAGATGGACAGATAGACGGATAGATGGATGGTTCGATCAATAGATAGACAGATGGACAGATAGACAGATAGACAGACATAGACAGATAGTTAGATACCAAGATAGATATATAGATAAATAGATATGTACAGAGACAGATAGATAGACAGATAGACAGATAGACAGATAGATAGAGAGACAGTTTGATCAATAGATAGACGGAGAGATAGATAGATAGATAGATAGATAGATAGATAGATAGATAGATAGGTAGATAGATAGATAGATAGACAGATAGACAGATAGATAGGTAGATAGATAGATAGATAGATAGACAGATAGACAGATAGATCGATAGATCGATAGATCGATAGAGGGATAGATGGATGGATGGATAGATAGATAGATAGATAGATGGATAGATAAATAGATAGATAGATAGATAGTTAGATAGATAGGTAGATAGATAGACAGATAGACAGATAGACAGATAGACAGACAGATAGACAGACAGGCAGACAGATAGATAGATAGATAGATACATAGATAGATAGATGCATAGAAGATAGGTTGGTAGGTGGGTAGATAGTCGGAGAAAGAGAGAGAAAGAGAGGAGACCTCAAGCACCTTTCGGTCCATCAGTGGATTCGCTCTGCCATCCCTGATTCACAACAACAAATCTCTCCTATAGGTTTCCTATTCTTGAAACTTCCGCCACCGCCTTGTGCGGTACGACTGGTAATTCAAAGATCCAGCTGGAATGATCAACGATTCACAAAAGAGTTGCTAAAAGGAAAGACCCCCATTGTATGGTCCCAAAGATATGTAAATCCATGTAAATCCTCTACTAACCGAGTGGTATTTCAGATATGTAAATCCTCTACTAATCCTCTACTAACCATGTAAATCCATGTAAATCCCAAAGATATGATTTGGTTTCGGAGTGGTATTTCAGAGATGGGATTATGAAAACAGCCGATTCTCGCTTCGGTTTGAGATGGTTATTTCGTCGTGCCACGGATCCACAAAGATCGCAGCTGGAATTTCCCACGTGATTACCGTTCTTACAACTGGAATACCCTCTGGTAATTTAACATTTAGCATGGAAAGATCCACCATGTTTAATGGAAAAAGTCACTATACATGGCAATTTCCAATAGCTAATTATGTTAAATTACCAGAGGGTAATCATGACAATCATCGTCATCGTCATCATGATGATCATCATAATCATCGTCATAGCAGGATTCAGTAGGATGTATAAGTATCATCATTATCATTATGATGTGTATAAGAAATTGTTTCCCAGCATCATAGAATCCCCAATTTCATGTGTAGCATTGGCAATGAAGCATTTTTCCACAACCCAATGACTTGAACCATAGCCACATGAACCTTTTGTCTACCCCAGCCAAAGATTTGGCTCAGGGTCGTTCTTAAAATGTGTCGTATCATAATGTCAGTCGTCTCTGGACTTGTACGACATAATTTTAGTAAGACCCTGGATGGACATGTTGTTTCCGTGTTTATTGGTTTTAAATCCAGTGTGTTAACTCCATCATATATTATCACGTGGTTGATTCACTTAAAAATCAGAAGCGTGTCTCATCTCGCTACATTCGATCGATACAAAATCTTTGAGTTTTTGCTGGACTGTATAACAGCAATGGCCGCTTTTGTCAGATATGTTTGGCGGCGTATAGCCCCACACATACAACTTATATATATATATATATATATGTATACATATAGTCACCATGAATCCACTGAATTAAGCTAGCCTATATAGTCAGAAAAACATGTTTTGACCTATGTGTTGGGGGGGCCTTTCTGAACCACTCAAAAGTGGCTGTTCTGGTTGCCATGAGTTTTGAATTTACCAACTACTTCGGATTTGTCACCCTTCGGCAGCTGATGATTTTTCTATGTCCTTACCAACCACTGGTTGGTTGATTTTGAAAAAGGGCTTATCCAGTAAACCTTTACAGTGTGCTGTGGAAATTCACCATTGTCAATAGGTAAATGATCAATACATGGGCCATTTTCATCTGGTTGGTGGTTTGGAACATGGCTTTTATGACTTTCCATAATGGGATGTCATCCTTCCCAGTGACTTTCACTCCATCATTTTTCAAGATGGTTATTGCACCACCAACCATGTTCATCCCATTTTCCAGTTCGCACTAGATGGGAAAAGAGCGCCCCACTTAACCTCCACAGGTTGATCATGACGAAACCATTCGTTCAGGGGGAGTTCAGCATCCTTAATGGTTGTTTCATGTGGGTAAAACAGTGCCATAAACGAAATTCCCCAGTCATCACCATAGATGATATTAAAACTATTCCGAAATGGGTGTTTTATGGCATTGTTTTACCCACATTAATATGATTCAATACGATTCAGTAGGCATAGCGGCATAGCAATACATGGAGACACTTGTCACCAGCTTCTGATTCCGAGCACATTATATAGTCTGGATGAATTATAGCAGCCTCACTGCGATGTCACCGGAACAATGGTTCGGATTGGGGTAACTATCCCCAAATGGCCAAGTTGAATTTAGGTTGCTGAATGATTCTAATTTACCCAGAATTCAAATCAAGTTGGCTGATGTTGGTTTATACATCCCATTTCTTTATCCTATTATATCCCTTGATGTTGGTTTATACATCCCAATTTTATATCCTATTATATCCCTGGCTGGTTGAATTCCATTCAACCCCCAGTGACACCATGCTGCCCAGGAAGAAGCGTACAATAGCCTCAGCGAGCACAAGCCCATTCCTTTGCGCCGCCGGGGAGCAAAGGAACAAGTTTCTCGGCGCCGAAAGAGGCCAAGATATGAGGCGTGCAAGGGAACCCCAAACGATAGGCTGATAGGTTAGTTTAGAACTCGATGAATTTAATTGTTTTTGGCGTTATAGATATAACTGCTGGATGCTGATGCTGACCTGGAGACTCCATTGTAGCACTTTTTCTGGCAAACCCCTGGTTGGACACACTTTCTGCCATCCCTGAGCATTTTTTGAGGGTCTGCGCACTTTTTGGGGGTTTCAATGGATATGAGCACTTTTTGGGGTTCAGACCCATTTTACACCTTTGGATCTATTACAGTAATACAGTAAACTCTTGGAGAAATCCACGAAGTTAGCCCACACTCAAGCTGGTGGAAGCCAATCCTGGAAGCGAGTTTTGCATCTAAATGAGCATCTATTTCCTAATTTATGCTTCCTGGGGAGGATGCACATTGGGACCAAGCTCAAAAGAATTGATTTTACCTATCTTCTCTGTGTTTTGACATTTTGGACAACTTGGTACCCCTCAATCGGGGCGCAATTTCGCGCAATCAGGACGCAAATTCGCGCAATCGGGGCGCAATTCCAAAAGTGTACGGGCACTACTGACATTTGCCTCCCAAATGTGGATATTCAATAGCTTAAGGGTCTTGTTCGGCCCATCCAAGTGAATTTGACGACTTACTTGCAGCAGCGGCGAATGATGTTGGTTGTGGAGAGCCTAAGTAGAGTGATCCCAAGCATAGCGTGATTGTGTCAATGTATGTTGCAAGAATGCTTGGGGATCCGGCTGTTTGAACATGTGTGGGTGCCAACAAAATGAAACAACCAAATGAGCACTTTTTGAGCTTTTGTAGCACTTTTTTGGAAATGAGCGTTTTTTTGTTTCTGAGCACTTTTTATTGTATCGAAGGAAAGTTCAGGGATTAGTGCTGGATGCTGGATGCTGATGAGTGTAGGGGGACCCCCCCAAAACATGTTTTTCGGGGTTCTCTTTAGGCTGGTAAATTTTGAGGGACCAGGGTCTGAATAATGTTGATCATGATCTCAAGTAAGGTTTTCAATTTGCTTTGATTGAGTTTCCTTTTAGAACTTTCAAGAAATCAATTGAAAAGCACGAATTTCAAATGATGTCAATTAATTGTCCTTTCAAACCTATATAAATCTAAGGATAAGTAAGGACTTCGCTAGGTATCCATCTAATTTCAATCGATTATCCTTTCAAACCCAAAAGGAAATCCATTGATAAGAAAGGAATTCAATTCTTATCAATTTACTTTCAGTTCATTTTCCTTTATAACCAAAATAAATTTCTGGATAAGTTAAAATTTTTCAATTCATGTAAATCTACTTAGAAAATCAATCTGAGAAATGGAGCAAAGAGAAGCCAATGCTTGAAAACCTCTCTTCAAAGGCCGAAGATGTACCTACTTTTCTAGTGGGGAGGGAGAATCATGACTAACAGAGGAGAATGAGTAACACATATGCAGATTGACTGTGTGAGGCAGCAACCCAGAAGCATGTTTTTCCTAAAATCCAAAGATGGTGGGGCAGCGGAATGACAAATCTAAAGCCTGGAAGATACCCCAAATTTCCTCACTGATGAAAGATATTTGGGATCCAGGAGTCGTTAAGCCGGTCATAGCAGGCTCATGGCATTTGCGGCATTCGCGTACCATGACCTCAGAGAATTGTCGCGGTACATAACTGTTTAATCCCTTCCCCATCCTGCAAAATATTTAACACCTTTCAGAAAATAGATGGTCGAGTAGGAATTTACACATATTATCATATTTAGAACTATTTTTGGGGTGTTTAATGTTAGGGGGTGGGATTTTACGGGGAATGATGCAGACATTGCCGGAAACACGGTTGTTGGTATAGCATGTTATAGCTTATTGAACCTCCGAAACATGGAATTATACTTGGTTGGTGGTTTGGAACATTTTTTATTTTTCCATATACTGGGAGTTTCATCATCCCAACTGACTTTCATATTTTTCACAGGGGTAGGTCAACCACCAACCAGCTGAAATATCAAGTACCAAAAATGCTGGCAGCCAGCTGGGGATGCACCTTCGACCCGCGCAGGCAAACACTGTCATGGTCATGGCATGTCTAGGTCTTCGCTTTTAACTGGTCCAAAAATAGCATATGTATGCATATGTTTGAAGAAAGTGACCAGTGGCAATTGATGATGTTCCGCACATATATATATATATATATGTATATATATATATAGAGAGAGAGATAGAGAAATCCCAAGCTTCACAATCTGTGCTGAAGCGATGGCGTAAGTATGGGTGTCTCTTTTGATTTTGAAAAACAGGTTACCCTGGAACTTGATGGTGTATCATCATGTTCCACTTAGAAACATCCGAAACAATTTGCCTATCAAAAACCGCCTTGTCTTGGGGAATCCTCAGCAATTATCTCTATATGTTCAGGTCCGCCTCCTGAGGAACACTTCAATGTAGCGAAGTTGGTGGTCAGTCAGTGCACAGGTCCGGGTCCGAGTCGGGTTCTGCACCGCTGGAGTTCCCTGAAATTTCGATAGGGAGGAACTCGGAGGAACTGATCAGTTTGGTTACGATCGGTGCCCAAAGATGTAACGATGAACATGAACGCCGGACATGACATGAAAAAAAATCGTTCTGAACGTCAGGCTTCATTGAATAACAGACCCTTTACAGTTGGAGGATTATCCCATAACTGGCTGATCCTCCAAGTGATGGACAGAGGCCATTCCCAAGTTGTCAACTTATTCCCTCAACGTGTAGGTCTCCTCCACTTATCAGATCAATGTGCATGAATGTCCATCAAGTCCATCCATTTCCCAATGAATTCTATCGATGTCCAATGAATGTCCATCAATGTGCATCAACGTCCATCAATGTCCAATGAATGTCCAATGAATGTCCTTCCCATCGCAGGCCTATCTCCTTTCCTCTTGACGCGCTTGCAGAAGACGCAGCGACAGAATTCGGGGCCCACGGGGATGACGTCCAGTCAGTTGGGCGAAATCCAGCTCCTAGGCCATGATTTGAGGAAACATGGATTCTTGGGAACAGAAATACCATATCCCATAGGATCCATGGTGCTGGCATATATGCTAACATGACCGGGGTATATTGATGGGATCAATTTTGTCAATGTTACCATATATAGCATACATGGATCCTATGGGTATGGGAACTTGGGAAAATCATGGGATTTTTAGTGGGATATACCACTTTAAGCCACTTTAAAGTGATCTAATGGGATGTGAATGGGATGTACCCTCTGGTGAAATAACAGTTGGACCCTGAAAATAGCCTAGTTTTAATGGAAACTAATGTGAACCAACCCCGATGACTGCCAGATGTTAATTTACTGGAGGGTAATAGTCTGTCCATTGTCCATTGCTTTAATCCATCTTCTGAAAATTCCATGTTTGTTGGTGGAATCCCCACGTTCCTCAATTGTTTCTGCTTTCCAAATTCAAATTCTCCGATCTTTGTTTTGGGGCGATTAAGCTACCGATCTTTTGGAGATTCGTTTCAGTGGGACTCCACGTTTGAGTTCTCTTTAGGCAATCCTTGATCATGCTCTTGGGTGACTTGGACACTCCTGAATCAGGCGCAGCCGAGGGGGAGACAAATAGGGATAGAAAGGAAATGTTATAATATATACACATTACACACTATATATATATATATACACGATATATATATATATATATATACACAATATATTTATATATATGTATATACACATGCCGTATGTACATATTATATATATATATATATACATAGAATTAGAATAATACACTGTATGTGTATATATATATATGGTTCATTTTTGTAGTATGACTCTACAGTAAATGGAAATTCCTGCTCAGCTGTGCCATTTTTATGTTGGGAACATGATGTTCTCAACCGCTGGATTCTGGGGTATCATAAGTATCTGGGTACATTATAACGACCTCACTGTCCTCCCTCACTGGAATCATGTTTATTTTTACAGGGAAATGATCCCCAAATGGCCTTTTTTCAGGTTAGTGATTTTTTTAAAATTCACCCAGAAGTATCCTATTTTCAGGCAAAGCCATTTCTGTTCTTGTTGATCGGTTCAACCTTCCATGTTTGTAAGGATGGCATATTTTTCGCACCATAGTCTGGTAGCCACTGCCCACCATATCCCACCATTCCCACCATTGATTTGGGTAACGGCATATATCACAAGGCTGTCACCAGTCCTCCGGAAAATGAATCGAATTGGGGTTGGAATCCAAGGTACACCGTGCATGGCTGCAGCTCAAAATATGTTTGGTCCCGATCCCTACCCCGGGCAGGCGATCCATACCCCTGATCCATACCCTTTTGAGATAGAATTCATTTGAGATCATTTGCGTGACTCCTTCGTTACGTCCTTTTATCACCGATCCAGGCGATCCATCCGTTTTTTGAGTCATTTTATATCATAATAGGCGGATCTACAATCATTTTATATCATAATAGGCGGATCTACAATCATTTTATATCATAATAGGCGGATCTACAATCATTTTATATCATAATAGCCGGATCTACAATCATTTTATATCATAATAGGCGGATCTACAATCATTTTGTATCAGAATGTATCATCACATGATTCTACATTTCCAAGGAGCACAATCAGGGCGGTGTTTGGTGTTTGTGTTTCATGATCCTACAACCATCCCAGTTGGACATAACGTTCCCTTTGACATGGACCATGGTCACCACTTGTTTCTTTGGATTGGCACAGCAAACACACAATGTGTCTGTATATGTTAACATGTGACTATGTTAATAGGTTTATGTATGTAATGCAATGGTAATGTAATGGTAATGTAATGGTCATGTAATGGTAATGCAATGGTAATGTCATGGTAACGCAATGGTAATGTAATGGTAATGTAATGGTAATGTAATGGTAATGTAATGGTAATGTAATGGTAATGCAATGGTAATGTCATGGTAATGCAATGGTAATGCAATGGTAATGCAATGGTAATGTAATTGTAGTGTAATGGTAATGTAACGGTAATAACATGCAACGCAATGCAATGCAATGGAATAAATGTTAAGTATGTATGTACGTTCGTACGTTCGTACGTAGGTAGCTACGTAGCTAGCTAGCTAGCTAGGTAGCTATGTAGCTATGTAGCTATGTAGCTAGCTTGCTAGTTAGATAGATAAACAGACAGACAGACAGACAGACAGACAGATAGATAGAACAGCTAAAGATAAATAGAAATAGATAACACATACATATACATAATTAGATGAATTTGATAAGATAAAATTAATCGATAGTTAGATAGACACGCCCTTAACGTGTCGTGTTTCTTCCCCTCTTCGCCGGCGCGGCCTCGGCAGCCTCGGCAGCGCCGCCTCGGCAGCCAGGCTGCTCCTGCCGAGTCCTGCAAGCGCTGCTGCAGGGAAAGATGCACGAAGGGGTCACGGTGGTGGATGCCAACAGGCGTCCTGGTGGTACGAGTGGTGACTGATCCATGACGAAGAAACCGAAACCTGAAAAAAACAATGAAAACAGGAAAAATTGACAAATGCAACATGGGATTGAACATGATTTTGCCGGTTTTCAACTGACTTTTATGACATTTTATTCAGAAATGGAGAGTTTAAGATCATTGATTTGATCAATTGAACAATGAAAAATGATATTCTTCTCATTGGCAGAATTTGGAGTTGTAGACCCTGCGAGCCCTTGTTTAACTGGCTTTGCTATGGGGTTGGCCGAAGGAAGCTGCACTGATCCTGATGGCTGGCATAAGTTTGCTCTTCTGAAGATCTATCTGCCGAAGACTCGAGCAGCAAAACACCAGTCAGCTAGGATTGCCGCCAGACCAGTTGACCCTGCTAATCTAGTTCTCCATCGCCGAAGAGACTGATTGGACAGTCAGTTCACTCCTTGGTCCCGGATTGGGTTCCCCGTGGAAATTATGAGCTCCATGTGGTTTGGGACACACCTCTAAGCAGTTCCAGTCGCAACCACTTCGTGATCTGTGACCGCTTTGTCTTTGAAGCCGCAATTCAGGAGGCTGCGGCCTTGAATTACACGATCCAGTTGGGAGACATGACCAACGAGGTCACCAGGATGCAGACGTGGTTAGAAGATTTAGAAGTTCACCTTTTTTCCACCAGAAAGGGTTGAAATTCTAGGCTGAATTCAACAACACTGCGGCCGCATGCAGCGCGAACTTGTGGAGCTGCGACAGGAGCTCAGACAGACCCGCATGGTCTTAGGCGCAGATGACCATTGCTGCCCACCATGAGCATTTTCATGGTCTTTTCTGATGTTTTTTGGTTTCTAAATCGTTGTAATTCGCTCAGATACTGTACATCTGACAAGGTAGTGCCCTTTTCTCATGTTTCTTGCTTTATCGTGCATCGTCCAACAAACATAACTATAATTCATCACATTCCACCGGAAATCCGGCGTAGGATGCCTAGAACACTGTTTGAAACAGATGAAAAGGGACATTGTGACATGCCA